TCATTGTTGTTTGGTGGGCCCGGGCTGGATTCGAACCCACCACCTTAGATGTATGTGGCTGGTGCTTTAGCCACTTGAGCCACAGGCGCCGAGCCAGAAGAATTTCTTAAAGTTACTTTCATATTGAGTAGCCAAAAGCTGACCCTAAATAACTATCCTACTTACAAAAACAATTTTCCCTTTCAGTAGAGAATTTCACAAACTCATACCAATATTAACATGGAACACTTACCTTCCTTAATACTTCCTGACCTCAGAGGAGGGAAGACCTGGGGAAGAGGAATCTGTGCTATGAGTGGCTGCTGAGGCAAGTGCTGAATGATGGTGGCCGGAGGCTGTGGGACCCAGAAACAGCCAAGTGATTAGCGACCCGAATGTGTCCTCTGAGAAAGTGTGCTACAGAATTTACCTGCTTACCCATCCACCCACCCCTCTACCCATCTATCAATTCATCCACCTGTCTGGTCATCCAGTCATCAATCCAGCCATCTACCACGTTTCCCCGAAACTACCCAAAAAATAAGCCCTAGCACGATTTCTATGCATTTGTTAAATATAAGCCCTACCCCCGATAATAAGACCGAGATAGGCTACATAGCCATGCCATGCATTTCAGCGTGGAGAGGAAGACATCCCCTGAAAATAAGCCCTAGTGTGTCTTCTTGAGAAAAAATAAGTATAAGACAGTGTCTTATTTTTGAGGAAACACGATATCTTCCTATTCAACCATGCTTCCATCCATCTATCCTTCCACTTGTCCAATCTCCCATCTACTTACCTATCCACCTATGTATCCAACCAACCCTCCATCCATCTGCCCACCCTTTTACCCTTTCATCCATCAACCTACCATCTATCCAATCATCCATCTATCTACCCCATTTATCCATCTGCCCACCCATCCATTCATCCACCTGTTCAGCTATCCATCCATGCACCTATCTATCCAACCAATCATCCTTCCACCTTCCGTCCACCCTTCTGTACACCTACCCACCATCCATCTGCCCATCCATCCATCCATCTAGTCACTTATCCACACATGCATTCATCCATCCACCTATCCATCCAGTCACCCACCTACCCCTCCACCCATCTATCTAGTCATCCATCCATATATCCATCCAAGGAGAAGTTTATTTTATTTTATTATTATTTTTTTTAGAGACGGTCTCACTCTGTCACCCTCTGTAGAGTGCGGTAGCATCACAGCTCACAGCAATTCTCTTGCTTCAACCTCCCGAGTAGCTGGAACAACAGGTACCTGCCACAACACCTGGCTATTTTTTTGTTGTTGTTGCAGTTTGGCCAGGAACCTGCCACCCTTGGTATATGGGGCCGGCACCCTACTCACTGAGCCACAGGCGCCACCCTATTTATTTTATTTTATTTTTTGAGACAGAGCCTCAAGCTGTCCCCCTGGGTAGGGTGCTGGGGCATCACAGCTCACAGCAACCTCCAACTCCTGGG